GGAGATACAATCGTCATGAACGTCCCTGTCTGCTGGAGATGTCTTGTCATCAATGGAACAAAAGCACCGGAACTTGCGGCACTCAAGACCAGCACAAGGAGAGGGAGCAGGGGGTGCTTGAATGGGGCGTTCATCATGGTGAAACTGATTTCGTCGAGTGGAAAATGAAAAGAGGAAGTAAAACAGAAAACAGTTCCATGTGGAGGTCCAATTTCTTCTGCGGTGGTGTTGGCGCCATGTAAAGTCAGAGTGTTGTCAGCCCAAATGCACCAATGAGAAAAGATGGATGATGAAGCTGATGATGATGACTAATGCAGGGGTCACCTCATCCACGATCCATCTTCTTCACTTCCTTAGCTCTTAGCTCTTATTCTAAATAAATAGTTGTGCTTCAATGAACGAGGAGTTCTGCCCCACGGCATAATTAATTAATAGGAGAAGTGCAAGAAGACACGTCAATAAGAAAAGCCTTCAACAGAAAGACAAGAAGCGAATCCAAGAGTGAAGCATTATTTGGAAATTCCTGCTTTTCTTTTCAATGAGCGCTGAGTGCCGCTTGAAGCAGTCGGGGTTGGGGGTTATGGAAGGCGGCGGCATCCCATGCCAAAAGCACAAACCAGCGCAAACCATTGCTTTGAGTTGAAACAGCACCAAGCCCAACGGCCCGAGGAATTGCATAGTTCCACGAGGCGCACACAGAACACTGTTGGCCGGCCGTCTCGCATCGCCACGGGAAGAGGGAGCCAAAAACTGCAAAGGACGAAGCCTTCGCATATTCATCATTCAAGTTGTTGGTCAGGGAGCTCTACGAAAGTGGATCGAATCAATCATTCAATAATCTACGGATACTGCAGCCTAAAACGATAAAACTGTTACTATTACACGAGCTATTACTATTACACGAACAACTTTAGAGTCAATGTACGCCCGTGGTCGTTCAGAATTGCTGGGGCATTCGTATTGGTGCCACTGAACATTCCCACTCAGGTGCGCAAGGGGACATTTATTTACATTCGAGAGGGGAAGCATTTCCCATCAGTTACATACAAGGGAATCCACCCAGCTGAGTGTAAATGCCGGGAGGTCCTGTCATTTCTCCTTCTGCATCCACAATTAGCTTGCATATCTTTCCATCTCTAAAGTGGAAATAGAGTGTTTCTGGTGAGTTCTGTATGTATTTTCCTGATGGCTGAATAGGTGGACAGGGCCCAAAGGCATATGGTTTGGCTGTATGGTGACCACTTGCAACCAGATTGCTCACGACCACAACACCATCACTTTCACGCTGTTTGATGGAATCATACTGAAAGTAGAAGTCGGGGAAGGCATGGAAGACGTTTGTGGTTTCACAGGCCATGTCATCGTATTCCATCTCTTGGTTATCTGCAAAGACGAAGACATAGTCTGCAGTGACCATTTTCCCAGCCCCTTCCATATCGTGTTCATTCCATTTTGCCAAGAAGGCTTGTACCAGTTCACTCTTCCAGTTTTGGTCCTCTGCTGTCTCCACAGGACTGTTGCGGTGATCAGTTGCAGTTGTAATGCAAGTGTCAGAATCTGATGTCTCCTTTTCAACCTTTTTGGACTTGCTGCGACGGAACAATCTCTTGAAGGGTTTCATCATGGTGTTTCCTTACTAGTACTGTATAGTACAATCTATATCGGAGTGTGAAATGATCTTTGGGTGTGATCAAGTTTAGATTAATTTTGTGTAGACTAGCTCCTTTTTCCTTCTCTGCTGTGTGCGAAGCTGCGAAGCACAAAGAGGGGGCACTTTCGCTTCGGCTGTAAAACGTGGCGGTCGTTGTGTCATTCTTCTTCACGTGGGGAAGAACAGCTAGTGTAGAATGCTATGGAACCTTCCTGCTTTCGGTCCGGACATAATCGTAATCGTTCTTTGCCTTCTGTGTGTGAACCGTGCAACCCCAAGCCCCCAACCCCAAGGACGCTGAACGACTGGGTGGTTGAGGTGTGGTTGGGTTGGGTGCATTGCAATCTTGCGTGGCTCGGAGGTGGTCGTGTGTCCCACAACCTACACCCAAAGCTACTAGCTAGCTAGCATACTAGTACTTGTGACTACTTGATCGTGTTGACTGCCTAAGGTTGTCTACGTTCCTCGTACCTTCGCCTCGTGTGGTCATGCCTGCTGTGATGTCATGCCGGTAGCACCTCTGAGGCTCCATCTTGAGTTCACAACTCACAACCTCTCGATCGCACCTCCATGCATACCGGTACTGTTTGGTGGGTGGCTCCTGTACTCGTGGAGCCGTGTTATCGTGAAGAGAGAGCTGGCTACGGTACCACGTACCAATTACCAACGGCGCCGGCAGCCCATCTCCTTCCCTGACATTTTAAGCACCAAAACGGGAAGCGTGTGTGAAGAAGGGCACAAAGAGCAATGCCTTTAAAACAACAGTTGATGCACTGAATTAAAGCCCAATACGGAGTAGTCATTTGATTCATGGGTATAGTTCAGTCGCTGTCTTCCAACGTTCCAACGTTCCAACGACTGCAAGCTCAAGACTCAAGAGCCACCCGCAACCCCGCGACCCGAAGAACTGCTATGCGGCGAAACCAAAAAGTCTCGTTGAGTTTGCAAAATCGAACACAAAAGCTCTCGCATAACCTTCCACACAAGTAAGTAAGTCAACTGATGAAGCAAAGGAATTAGTAATTGGAAACCAAAGCAAAGCAAGATGAATCCTTTGAGGAACATTTTTCGTGGCAGCAGCAAAAAGGCCCAACCCGTCAAAGGTTGTGAGAACAAACCCTCGACCGACGTTGTGCCAGAAAGAAACGTGTCACCCAAAGAAGTCAAGAAGAGCTGGAAGATTGAGCTGGTTGAGGCATTCATTCAGAAATGGAGTGAACACGACATGGGTGGAGCACATGCCATGGTGACAGATGACTTTGTCATTGTCTTTGCAAGTGCTGACAACATGGAGCTGGAATATCAAGACTATGTTGCAGAGACGACCAAAGTCTTTGAGGCCTTCCCAGACTTCAACTTTCGGTATGAGTCCCTTACAGAGGGGAGAGATGGGGTTGTTCTTTGGAAGAATGTTGTTCCGAATGGCCACCACACAGCCAAACCATATGCTTTTGGGCCATGTGATCCAATTGAACCAACTGGAAAGTATGTAGAGAACTCCCCAGAGACGGGTACCTTCTACTTCAAGGATGGGAAAATTGCCAAGATGATGGTGGTGGCACATGGGGAGATGACTGGGCCAGCCGGCATCTACACTCAGCTGGGAGGCTTTCCCCTCATGTAATGTATTTAGGCTGTCTCGACTAGCACGACAGTGTCCGGCATTTTGTTTACATAAATTCACCCAATAGAAAAATTGAAGAACGAAACAGCTCCTGTGCATAGTTTATTCATCTTGCGCCAACCTGAGCTAGATTGCCAATGAACTTGAGCTGCCATTGGGCTGTACAATATAGCACAAGAGGCAACAATCTTGGTTCTCCAGCTCAGGCAGGTTAAAACTTTTATATGGATCTTGTTGTTACTTGTTTTGAGCACCTGTACTTCGCCTGGGCTCGATTGGCTGGTGAGGTGCGCAGAACGGCCAGCTCCTGGATTGACTGTCGGATGAGCGGGAGTTAATGGGGAAGACGCGGTACTTAATGCCCAATTTCCGCAAATTTATCAGCTCGGATGAGCGGGAGTTAACGTGGAAGACGCGGTACTTAATGCCCAATTTCCGCAAATTCTTCAAAGACAACAATGTCATGATTTTGTTTATCCATGTCTGAGCGCACCTGGTCTGTCATCCAGGACCCAGGTCTTCCGAATGGCTTTTGATGAAATCCTACTCCACATTTCTCATAAAGTAACACGACGAGCTCAGCATGTTCAGCCCCAAGTCAGAAGGAACAACAACCCCCTCCATGTTCAAACCTTTCAAGAGGCTGTTGTGTCGAAAGAAAACCAAGAGTTTTGGCAGTGATGCAACAGCGAGCGAAAGTGAGGCTTATTTGCCGACCAGCACAAGTGAGCATTGCCGGACTTCACCCAAGGCCAAGAGTTGGAAGATTGGTGCCGCCAGAACAAGCGAAAGCAACACTTGTTTGTTGACCAGCACAAGTGAGCATTGCAGGACTTCAACCAAGACCCAAAGCTGGAAGATTGATGTTGCCAGGGCCTTTATAGAGAATTGGAATGAGCATGATATGAATGGTGCTGAAGAGCTGATCACAAAGGATTTTGTTTCTGTCTTTTCAGGGGCTGACAACGCACCAGTAGAGATGGAATACGATGACATGGTGGCTGAATTCACGAATTTATTTGAAGCCTTTCCTGACTTCAAATTTCAGTATGATTCCATCAAGGAGTGTCTGGCCAATGATGTGGTGGTCTTGAGCAATCTGGTTTCTAGTGGTCATCACACAGCCAAGCCATATGCCTTTGGTCCATGTCCGCCCATTGAGCCATCTGGAAAATATGTACGAAACTCACCAGAAACATACTACTTCCACTTCAGGGATGCAACGATATGCAAGCTAGTGGTGGAGGCAGAAGGTGAAATGACAGGACCTCCGGGCATCTATACTCAGCTTGGCGGTTTTCCTCTCATGTAGCTACTAGTAACTTCAATATTAAAATACCATGAGCACCGAAGCCCACTAACTCGGGTTCTACACACCGACCTCGGTAGCGGCCTCCATCAATCTCAAGATTCCATGCTCTCTGAGCCACACTTCTGGAGCCCCTGCATTTTGCTCCTGTGCGTTTTGGGGCTGTGACATCAGGGACGGGGTACACAAGTTCTATTCATACAGGGATTTTCTACCTTCACTGGAGCCGAAGAGGAAGAAGTTTGCGAGCAGCTACAGGCAGCGGATTCAGGCAGAATGATGGTGAGGATCTTTGTGTCGATTGAATTATTCAACGCACGAAGAAGCTTGCGCACGAGCAGGATTCTAGATAGATTTCCTCTCCGTTGTACGGGTAGTCGCTGTGTAGTGCGCACGTCCGCTTCACAAGCCTGGTGGCCACCAGTACCTCAACCTTGCTTTGAAACTTCGTTCCTTCGATCATTAACACCTCCACTGCTTAGAGCACTATCTTTCAGTTTTTTGTACCAGCATTCCTCAAGGCGCGGAAAACGAGGGCTAGTAGGAGCATTGGATTCAATCATCACAGCGACGAACCGGTATGATGAGCCGCATGCTCGAAGTGCCGCATTGCGACACAGATTGCACGAATTCTTGAATGGTTAGATTCCAGCTAGCTTCCCTTGGTGGTGAATGGATGCTGCCCGGTCACCACGTCGAAGCAGCCTCCTTGCCTTCGCCGCCTTCACACAAAACACAAAAGCCCGAAAACAGCAAGAGCCTACAAGCAACAATCACCACAACTAAAACCGTCGAATGTTTACCCAAAAGAAGCTACACCCCCCTCTACCGGTATGTTCAAGTCCCTCAAGAAGTTGTTTCGCCGAGGGGAGAAAACTGCAGCCACAGACAATGACGTAATCACAAGTGCTGGCAACGACAAAACCACAAGTGAAACCGAGCGCACAAGCGAACATCCAAGGTCTACAACTCATGTTGCGACTCAGAGCTGGAAGGTTGACATTGCGAAGGCGTTCGTAGAGAAATGGAACGAACATGATATGGTGAGTACCAAAGAAATGGTGACAGAGGACTTCGTGGTTGTATTTTCCTCAGCTGAGAACTTGGAATTGGATTATGATGAATACGCTGCTGAGACAAACAGAATCCATGATGCATGTCCAGACTTCAGCTTTTGTTATGATTCCGTTGAAGAACAGCAGAGCGACGGAGTGGTTGTCTTGCACAACTTGATCCTCGCTGCCAGAGACTTTCGTACAGACAACCCTTATGCTTTTGGCCCACAGTATGGAAGTCGTGTTGAGTACTCATCCGAAAAGCTCCTCTTCTACTTCAAGGATGGAAAGATCTGCAAGCAAATTGTGGCACCCGAAGGCCAAATGCCAGGGCCAGCCGGCATCTATACACAGATCTTTCTCTGCGGCATTGCTCCCATTGATTTGGTCGCTGCGCTCAATTCTGGTAGCCAGGTGTTCACTGAAAATCACATTTTCTGAGAACCACCGACCTGAAGCACCAACCGATGGACCGTAGAACTAAGTTTAGAAACTTACTCACACCCCTGACTCGGCAATATCTAATATAATGAATGTCTCTTGCCGCTATTCCGTCTTGTTGATGACTTCGATAATGCATCTGCCTAGCTAGCTAGATCGAAACATCCGACGTACTCGCTGTGTCTTCGCGCAAGTATCCCAATCCGCCCCCTGGCTTTTGTTGCCGTCTGTTCACCAGTCGCACTGGAGGTTCCGGCTCGGTTGCGAAGTATGTCGTCGACATGAAGGTCGCGGTGGAGCCTTGCTGGTCGTCGCTACTACTTGCATATGTCTCTTTTTGCGGTTTCGCATCGTCGTCCTCACCATCGTCGTCCTCACCGTCGTCGTCGTCTTCATTATCGGCCACGTTGGGATTCTCCACAATATTTCCCCACTGATCAAAGTAGTATTCCTTTCGCACCACTTCACCCGTATTTTGTTTCCGGCGACGCTTGTCGAGATAAATCACCCCCTTGGACACCAGTCCGGCCACGACGAAGGCAAATGTCAGACCCCAAATGCCAATGAGTTGCTCCACAGTCAAACTCGGGTCATCGCCACCGGCACCCTCGACGGCATCGCATTCCTGTTCGGGTTCCGCATTTTGATAGATTTTGTGTAACGTCCCATCGAATTTGAGACTGTAGAGAAAGGGTGTCATTTTGGCGGCAAGTTCGGAATACATGGGTATTCCGTTGGATTCAAACGCCAGTGGTTGTCCCACGTACGTCTTGTTGCAATGTTTGCCCATGTTGTGCACGGCATCCAAATCTTCCTTGGACACAAAGGCTGCATCGCAGTACAACTGTTCATCGTGTTCATCAGTGTTGCTAGTATGAGCAAATTGTTGTTGCTGTGGTGATTTCATAAAGTCCAATGCCCGCGACCGCGACATGCAATTGGGACACTGGAAACCCGGCAATCCGTCTCCTCCCAGACTGACGGGGTCGGCCACGATCTCTGACGGATCCATATTGTGCAACGGCGCAATGACTTCGGCCACTTGTCGTGTGGCACAAAATCGATATCCCGCCTGTCGGGCTTGTGCCAAACTATTGACGTGACTGCGTTGTATATTCATGGTCAAAATGGCAGCCAAATTGGCCGTGTAGACGGTGGACACCAACCACAGAAATGTCAAGAGCGCCAACAAATGAACTTTGCCACCGACACTAACGACAAAGGTGGCATAATCTTGAGCAAAAAAACTCAATAGTGCCATGTACAGCGTTTTGGCAATGCGGGTCGTCCACGACATGTGCACTGTCTCGTGGCGCACCACTTGACCCGTAGCAATGTCATGTACTTGCGTCGTATATTGTTTGGGAAATGCCGATCCGGGGTTGTCGTATTCGTGAAAAAACATGACGAGTCCCAGAATGGGCAGCATGATACAAAAAATGGTGACCCAAGAGCCGGCCGTAAAGGGTTCAAAGACCAGTGCAAATCGTTTCGCCAAATAGGAAAACGACAATCGTTCGGTATCGGAAAACACCACCAAATAGATTTCTCCCACGGACGTTTCAAAAAAGGGCGTGACAGAGGATCGTTGCAATGTAATGGTGTAATCGGCAATGCACAAATCCAAATATCCCAATGCGGTAGCGTAGACACAGTAATCAAAACTGGATTTGCCAAAAAACTTTTGCGATTCGGGGAGCAACCATGGTGGTGGTTGTGTCAAATTGAGTGTGAATCCTCCTCGGGCCGCGGCGGTTGTCAGAAACTCATAGATGGGTCCGGACCATCCACTGGCATCCATCGAAAAGGATTGTTTGGATTCGTGATAGGCACCTTTCCATCCTCCCGTATTGTGATTGATTGCCACCCGCAGCGTCGTATTGACGAGCAATTCCTTGTGATCGAAAAATGATTTTTCCGCCATGTGTCCACAGGCGGCATAACTGTAGGACACATTGGGCCATTGGGAACTGGGCGTATCGCGGACGAGACAGTTGGAGCCATTGACGTAACACCACGAACGGGAACACCACGAGTAGTCGCAGAGCGGATCGACGGGAATTTGACGCGTGCAGTCTTTGAGGTCAATGCAGAAGGGACCCGTTTCATCGTGAGCGCCACAGCCAATGCCGTAGGGATCGTACAACAAGTCGTCCGTGTTGTTGTTGTTGTTGTTGTTGTTGTTGGACATGGACGTATTATGGTTGTTGCTGTTGCGAAGGACTTCCCGTCTCGCATGAGCCATTTGGTCCGGTGTCAAACAGGGACACGAGTCATCTCCCAATGGTTTTTGCGGCTGAAAGACTACACTGCCCAGGGATTGCAAGTGTCGTTTCCATTGAGCCGTTGACCCTTTTCCGTACGTCCAAGGGGGATCTCGGGGACGACGTCGACCACCATAATACCGATCATCCGAGTGTCCTTGGCGCAGCAAGCTCAAGAGGCAAGTTGCCCAGATGAGGCAGTAGTGTCCAATTGTCATTCTTCTTTCAGGCATCCTCTCTATTCAAAGTGGGAGTTACGTACTGCTAGCTGCCGGGAAAGGGCTTTGCTTCGTCTTGTGGGAATTGTTGCTACCGGTAGGTTGGTGCATGGACTTACTAGCTAGTAGTTCGTTGTGGTGGAGGGATGGTGCTTCCGTGCTTCTTCAAGAGCAGTCGTCCATGGTGGAAGGTGTGGTCATATTTACGAGCACATCAGCTCAAGGTCTGATAAGCTGATAAGTCTATTACAGTAGAGAAGACTTATTCACTGTAATAAGCTCAGACCTGGATGTTGATCTCTGACATGTAGCTTCCCTTTACAGGTCTCCCAGATGCTCAACCAAACCCACCAACAAAGGCACCACCGCTGAGAAGCTCGGCTCTCTAGTAGGAGTATCGGTACCAGTACTAGCATGCGATTTCAGAGTTGTGGCGTTCCTTCGTGTACGGCATCATTTCCGTATCACGCAAACTACGTAGGTATCAAAAACAAATTCTTCTCTTGCAGGACAATGGCGGGTGCTTCCTCTTCTGCCCCCTGTATGGGTGCGTTCCACACCGTGGCGTCAAACGGTTTGTTGCTCCTGTAACACCTTATGTTCGGGACCCTGGTTGCAATGGCTGGATCCGAATCGAATCAATCGACGACGAGACGCCTAGTGCGCGACGGTCTTGAAACGGACTACTGTACAGCGACATGTAAAAAGATCTTTTACAGCCTTCGCACGCCCGGCTTGGTAAAGATGAAGGTGGCGCTGACACCTCCTTGCAAATGTGCCCACCCATTCGATCGACGCACGCCGAACTGAAGAATAAGCCACCAAAGGAGCTCACCAAGAGCAACGCCGGGAGCCACCTAGATTTGATTTGTACGGTTGGATGGAGCACCGTGTGAGTACGGTACCAAGCAGCAGAGCTACCGTACGGTACGGTAGCATGTATGGCGGGCCATACCGTACATACACTTAGATGATCAAGTAGATGGCGACCAGACGGATAAAGAGCATGGCCAACATGCGACGACGTCCTCGTTGTGGCAGCATTCCAGCCGTTGCGCCAAATGAAGAATTCCTGGGAGACCACGAATCATCCCATTGGAGCGAATGCCCAGTACCAGGTATAGGGCCCAAAAAAGAAGAGGAAGAAAAAGAGGGATGTCGGCAAGTTGTAGTCTTGTGGGAAGCAGCCAGCCAACTCCAAGGTCTCTCTTTAGAAATGTAAACCGGAACACGCATTTTTGTCTGCTGGCTATCGTCAATGGAATCAGACCGGCACGAACCGATCTTCTCCCTTCGCAGCTTTCTCTCGTGGCACCGGTACAGTACGGTACCGTAAAGTAACAGCAAAGAAGGCGACGCTGGCTGATGGGAGACCAACCTCTATATCAAATGAAGAGAAGTCCCAGCAGCTACCTTGGAACAGGTTGAGCTATTGCTCATTCAAAGAAAGGGATCGATGTGGACGTAACATCCCCCGATCGTCGAAAACAGCAAGGTGGTAATCGTGCACCGTATCGGTACCTCTTTGCGACGTTCGTTGGGCAGTGGAAGTCTCCACACTTTGATACGAACCACAGCACTTTTGGACATCCAAGTCGAAGCAAGGCACGTCATTGCTAAGAGATGGACCGTGCGTGGCTGCGCCATCCGATCAAACCACGCCAAGATAGGAATGCTTGTTGGTGAAGTCGGCAACACAGTGAAAGTACGGCTGGATATGCGGGGAGCTCTTCCCCTTTGATTAATCTCTTTACCTAGCTAGCAGCTGGCTAGTCCTCTGCAACAGAAGAAGGGCTGGGAAGGTGCAGCAGAAGAAAGTGCCATTTTGGTATCACGCGAATTCAGGGCTGACTGCTTTCTCCGGATCCACCCTCTATACCGGTATACATACCGGTAGCCTCTCAAAACAATTTGGCGCGGGGCACGAGCTATAGATAGCGAGACAGCCCAGCCCCTTTGGCCAAATTCAGTTTCTCGAAGCACTAATATAATAGCTAGCTTGCTGGCCAAAGTCACAGCAGGGTCGTCAGAAAGCTGCCTTGGCATCGAAGACGAAAGATGGAGATGTATACTAGTACGAGGTTCTTTCTCGAAAGGTGCATATGTACATGGTTATTCCAGCCAGTTCCATGGGAGTTCAGACTAACGCGACAACAAGCAGACAATGCAGCATTTGCCGCCCGTGATGGTTCGTTGGCAATATATTGGGTGGATAAAACTTGAGGATAGTTCTCCGATATAGCTAGCTTGGCCTCACGGTACGAGACAGGGAAAGTTTCCTTGCCTGTGGATCGAGTTCAGACCTGCTACAAATTTTCAAAAACATAAACAACATGGATTACACCTCAAATACTGTGTCAATGTGAGGTAGGTCGGAAGGGAGGATCTCATCACTGGGCTTGAGGACTGTATCAAATATAGGGTGGTCAGCAGCAGCCTGTTTTCTCATTTCCAGCACTGTATCTCCATCACTGATCTCCAAACTAGTGGGGTACCCTCTTTCATGACGAACAGTGCCTTTGGAGACAAAGAATCGATTAGGACCAGTTTCCACCTGACCTGTCATATCTGTTCGAGCCACAAGGAGGGTGCCCTGGTGCACAATGCCTGCAACATGCACAGGCCCAACAACCAGCTTGTCAAAGACAACAGAATGTGCTGTCACTGCACAGCGATCCACCACAACTTTGTCAGAGAAAGTCACATGTGGAGCATCATACAGTTCATCTGCAAAGAAGATCAAACGACCTTCCACCTTGGCTCCCATGAACCTGATACATTCATTGATGAAGGGAGTTCCACAGGCCAAGTGGAGCAATGATGTGACCCACATGAAGTTGTAGGAAATGGTCAGGTAGATTGCATACAAAGATGAGCTTTCGATTTTCCCATCCGTGATAAAGAGCACGTGTTGCAATGCCCAATACATGACGAGCCAGGTCAAGGTTTGGACAAGCATGGCAAGGGCAAACTTCACCACAGAAAAGCCAAGGCCCACTCCGCTTCCCCAAATGCTGGCTGTGAAGACTTCATATGCAGGAATGGCGCTAACAAACACTGCTCCCAGCATGACAATGTAGCACACTTCTGTGGCCACAGCAGTTGCTGTTGACATGAGGCTGTGACATTCGGTTCCCATCATATCACCAGTGACAACTGAATGAGGCAATGTTCTGGTTGAGTCCACTTTGACTCCCCCCTTTAGAACAGCACCCCTTCCAAGACTGCTGTTCACAACTTCAATACGATCAAGTCTTCCATCTTGAGCGGGTTGGAAGGATGCTGCAGAAATGAAAGAGTTCTTCACGGTGATCAAATCAACTTGGGAAGGGCAGAAATAGCTTGCAAAAACATGTGACTTCCAATCTAGGTCCATCCCAAGGGCTTTGAGGTATAGATTGGTGATCTTGGAGTTGCTCCAGACTGTGGCAACTATATGCAGAGTCACCATGTACCGATAATCCACAAACCAGTCTCTCATTTCCAACATCAGTGTGGACTGCACAGGCCCCGGTTGGACCTTTCCAATCAAAGCCCATTTCAAGAAGACTGTACATGCCATGGAAAGCAATGTCTGCAAGAGCAGCACAAGGATCCAAAAGAGGAGTGGCGTGTATCGAAAGTCCGTAGGAAGCCTTCCGGCAAGAATCCAGGTGCAGAAGAAGATAGATGCAGCAAAAAAGTACAACTCCAGCATCTGCCATGCTATTTTCAGGAAGGCAGCAAGGCAGAGCTTTTGGTTGCTTCGGAGGGGCTTGTCATTATCCTTGGATGGCAAGGGACTGCCATATGCTGGACTTCCTTCAACCAAAGTATTGTCTGGCACTTGGGATCCTTCGGCTATCGCAGCAAGCCTCTCTACAACACAGTGGTTGCCAAGCTTGGACCCAAGACCAACCAATCCTTGAACTTTGCAGCTGTTGCCAATGGAAATAGGGCGGAAGGAAAGGTATAATTCACCTTCTGATAGCCAAGGACGGAATCGGCGGCAGTTGATGTCATGCTCAATACTGCTGTGGGCACCAACCCCCACCAGGTCAAACTCACGGACAAAAGCCTTCACCTGGACGCTTGGGTGGATCTTTGCTCCTAAGAGGACGTAAAAGAGCCACAGAAGAGGAGTATCCTTTAAGAAGCTGCCAATCCAGGTCTCCCAAGTATGAACCAATCTGTCCACAAACCACCAGCGTGCATAGTAAGTTGAGGGGATTGCAATATCTATTTCTTGGTAACGGCCAATAACAAGCCACTTGCAAAGGATGACTGTTGCCGAGAAGCTCAGCATCCAAAATGGAACCACCAAGGGCAACCACTGCCAGCGAGTCCCTTGATCAAGAGTCTCATTGAGTTCATCTGTTGAAGATAGTGCTTTTCCTACCTGGTAGGCTGGCACAAAGGTGAATGAGATTGTCAAGAGGAGGACCACTATTCCAAGTCCTTGGAGAATTGCTTGGGTGTACCAACTCAGGTCACTCAGTGGTTTGTCTTTGCTGGAAGAGGAAGACGGAAGTGATGGAAAGCTTATGTGCCCTCGTGACTCAATGAGGTGCGACCGTAGTGCTGTTGGAGTTGGGTAAATATCCTGGAAGGTAGGAGGCAAGGTGCAAAGAAGTTGTTCCGAACAGAGATTCTGGAGCTCCACAGCTGCCATTGAGGAAAGGCCTAGATCTTCCCAACTCATGGTTTCATCAACCCCATGGCCTAGTGTGGATGCAAAGACTGACCCAATGGCTTGATGGTATTCTTCATCAGTCATTGATGTGACACCTTGAGGGGGCCCAGGAGTGTCTTGAGTCTTGTTTGCGGTGGATGGCTGGGACTTTCCTGATTCAAGGCAGTGTAAAATTTCAAGTCCACCTTTGTGAAGAGCAGTTCTGGTTGCACGGCGTTGGATTTTGCCACTGGAAGTTTCAAAAGAAGATTGAGCGAGGATGGCAGCGTAAAGTGGCAAGAATTGTCATGCTGCTTCATGTCCTACACTTACCTTGTAGTTTTTGGTATCTTCTGTGATATAGCCACAACTTTAGATGGGACAAGACCAATTCGTTGAACAATTGCATCCCTTACGGCTGCGCACACAGTTTCAGCATTGGTGGCTGCATCGCTTCGGACCTCAAAAACAACTTCTAGAGAAGATTCATCACTCATCTCTGAGGTAGCAAATGCAGCAACACAACCTGGTTTCACTTCTTTGCTGGCAGCTTGAGTGACAAACTCAATATCCTGAGGATAGTAGTTGGCTCCATTGATTATCAACAGATCTTTGATCCTACCACAAACAAAAAAGTTTCCATCCTGTAGGAACCCGAGGTCCCCAGTCCGCAAATAGGTGACACTTGGGTTGGCTCCTTTTAGCTGTGCATGAAATGTTTCCTTGGACAACTCCTCCTTCCCAAAATAGCCCACTACTACACCATCACTTGCCACCCAAACTTCGCCAGTACTACCATCATCCACTTCTTGGCAGGTGGATGGATCAACAATCTTCAAAGACACATGCTTCTCATGAGTGGAAACTATCCCGTTGGAGACATACTGCTTTCCATTGTCTTCTGGTCGTGGCTTGGAAAGAACATAGCCACGTCTGCTGGTGATAGCTATGGAGTGGATTTTCTTTGCGTAAGGTATGGTTGAATGGAGAATAGGCATGCAACTGTGAGTTTCTGACTTACCCGCAACATGCTCTGCCATTCCATAGGCAGATCCATACCAGTCTTCAGGGAGGCCATGCTCCTGAAATACCGATTCAAACATCGCTGTTTCAGAGTTATCAAAAGCAGTGATATTTAGCTGAAATTCACTTCCTGCATGCAAGAACAATAGCTGCAATCATACCTTTGGTGTCAGGTTGAACAGGTTCTGCCGCAGATCCCAGACCAGAAAGTCCAGACAGGTCCAAAGCCGGCGGGTTCTTGTGTTCACGATACTTCCTTGCCACCAAACGAAACGAAAAGTCAGGGGCCATGCACCAGTGGACCTTGTGTTTTGACATGAGCTCAACCCAACGAACGGGGTTCCTGATGAATGAAATTGGAGACATCATGTGCATTCGAGAACCAGCTGCATAGGGGGCTAGGTTCTTCATGAGAAGCCCCATGTCATGGTACTGTTCATGCATAAACATCCAAGGAATTATTGAATTGGTTTTGAATCAGAACAGGGAACGCAGGGTAAAATGGACACAGCCCAATTGACTAGCTTGGCATACCTGTGGCAACCAAGAGAAGCCAATGCGTTCTTCCCAGTCAGGCCAAAAAGCCATATCACAATGGTAGTGAATCAAGCTGACCTGGTGAGACAAGTTCTGGTAGGATACCATCACAGCCTTGGGCATTCCTGTGCTCCCCCTAAAAGCAATCCAACAGAAGCGATCTGGTGAGCTGGTTTTGTACTGTGTGGCCCGTAATGCTGCCCGCATCTACTCACGATGTGTACTGCATAAATGCAATGTCTGTTTGAGCTGGCAGATCAAAGTTTGATGTAAGGCTAGCATCCATCTTCGTGTGTTGCAGTCTGTCTGTGACTTTAAACTCAATGCTACTTGGCCAGAGCTGCCTAGTCTTTGAAAACATGTTGCTCATGTCTAGTTGGCGGCACCGATTGATTCTTGTGTCTGTGAGGATCAATGCTGGGTTGCAGTCATCAATAACTCTTACAAGCTTGTCAAGGGATTTAGAGAGAGGAGGTGCTGGTGGATACACTATACCATAGAGTCCACGGCAAACGAGGGATTGAGACTGTGAGGGCAAGTGGTGGTCCAAAACAAACAAAATCCCAACATCCACTAAAAACTTACCAAGAACAGCAGTCACCCCAGCCCTCAGGCACCCAAGGAACACTTCAAAGAAGTGGAGTCCAAAGTCATAGCAGAGCACAACTTTCCCTCCTTTGGGAATGTTCCATTTTTCCTTCAGCTGATAGGCAATAATCCCGGCTCGGTCCCAAACCTCTGCAAACGTACGAGTGTCGGTAAGGATCCCCTTATCATTGTACCAGGAAGAAAACAGGGTATCTTTCTTTCGTTGGACAACTTCATGGGTTGTTTCCAGAAAGTGCTTTGTGGTTTGGGCTGGGAAGTATCTCTCATTGGCTACCAGTTTTGAACAAGTCGCCATGGTTTTGTTGTTTTCTGTTGGTAGATTTTGCTGCTGTGGTTTGTTTTGTGAAACTGACTGAATGCTGGTCAGTGGAAACTAAGTTCGCCATCCAAGAGCTCGGTATCGTGAGTCGGTTGCTGAAACCTGGGTTTCTGGCAGCATGCTATCGGCATATCGGCATCCCGTAACCAAGTAGTTGTGGATCCATTTCCAACGTCGGTCTGGCTAGCTACTTTGTCATGCTCCGCCTTTGCCAGCAGCCTTATTCCGGAAAGCAACCACTTAACTACTCAAAAAATATAAAAACTTTTAACTACTGTAGACTCTATCGTACGGTACTAGAACTTTGGATTCATGCAACAGTTATTCATCGGCGTTTCTTAAAGCAACTCGAACCGTGTAAAAGTCGCATATGACTCTGGCATCTGAAGCGAAGGCTACGATGTACAAATGGCCTTGACTTAACTCCTTTTTGCTACCGGTACTAGCTAGTAGTCATACCTAACTGATCTGTTGGACGACTTACTTGGCGACGTCTCCAGTTCCGCACAGTCGCCTGCCTTTCGGCGACGAACGAGGCTGCATGTGATTAGTCCCGTAGACGTGTTGGCATCAATTTTCCCATGCACTGAGATGGCTCAAAACATCGCACCGAAACACCGCTTCACGCAGAATAGATCTACCGCTGGCGACCGAACTATCTATCGGTAGCAACCTACTCAGTACTCGACTACTAGCGCAGATAGGCCCCTCAAACCTCCAGAAAGCAAGGGTTGAATCGAATCATTCCACTGGAAGACCATGCACAGATTCATCATTCGTCCCGGCATCTGTGGCCTACATGTACCGGTATGGCTATCGACCGTACGCCATACTGGCTAGCTTTTACTGGTACTGTATGAGCGTACGAGCGTACGAAAATACCGGCACGCAATGTCATGTGGCTATCAAAGGCACCACGGCCTCAGCAACTCAGCTCTATCTAGCTATTTGAGTAGTAACCTATGAGAGAAAATTTTTAAGCTAGAAGTTCAAAGGATGGGCCCCCGCAGGGGGCCTAGAAGAACAAAAATTGGGCCCCTTGGGGCCCAACCACCAAGCTAGCTAGCGGCGGGAATGTGTGGGTTGACACCTTCTCCACACTGTCAGGGGATTCCTTTCCACCACTGCATTGGTTATTGCCACACTTGTAGATGAAGCAGTAGATTGGGATGCGACCTCTGAAGCAAGCAACTGATCTGTGTTGGCCTTGCTTGAGGCCACTTCTGTCACCCAAAAACACATGCTTGTTGGTGCCACAATGGGGGCATGGAGTCTTGAGTCCACTGGTCTCTTTGCCTGTTTTTGTGTCCATGCACTTGTACCTTGAATGCTTTTCCAGAATGCTGTGGTCAAAGATCTCAGGCATGAAGAAGGGAATTTTAGTGAAAGCCGGCAGCTCAAATTCCATGGCTGCTAGAGACTGTTCCTCTGCCTGCCATGGCTTGTTCTCAATGCCCTTCCCGGGTTTGAAGAAATTTGTAATTTGTGCCTGGCCTGCAGCAGGAGCTTCCTTCCTTGCAAGGGCTCTCATAACAGGAGATGAGACTCCGTGGACTGCTCCCTGTGGGAAATAGTGCTGCAGAGGCCGATCCAATTTTCCGGCAACTAGAGGAGTCCTGGTTTTCGCAGAGGCACGCCCTGTCTTGCCAGCAGCCGCCAAGAACACCATGCCATTGTCGTCCACCTTGGGGAAGCGTCCTGCACTGGACGAGTACATGCTCCGGATATAGTGGTCGATACAAGCCGGAGCCTCTTTCTTGCTCACACTCATCATCGTCCTTGGATTGCGATGAATACAGCTTCCTCGGATTGCGATGAAGGCGGCTATATCCTCAGCGTGCGGTAAGTACCTCTGCGGCTACTGGGTACTGACTACGGACGGGATGACCTCGGTTATATTGTCTTGCTTCACTATCTCGCTCAAATTCGAAATCCTCTGGATGCATGCTCCTTCGAAATCCTCTGGATGTATGCTACGTCGAAATCCTCTGGATGCATGCTCCGTCGGTCTTTTGAAAACACATGCTAATAACACGACGGGAGACTGATCAAGCTGACACAGAGATGCGAAATATTAAATCACGACTGACGTCACAGCCGACTGACGTCATCGAAATCAAAGATCGAACAATTCTGATTGGCTAATCTCCTCTACAGCGGCTCTACAGCGGAGATCGAACGATTCTGATTGGCTTAATCTCCTCTACAGCGGCTCTACAGCGGCTCTACAGCGGTGGGCCGATGTCGGCACAGCGGTCCCGCTGTACTTTCTGTACCAATCCTTTGAGCTTCTGTGGATCGAAATACCGATGAGACGGCCTACACGCCAGCTTGAAGTTGCGGTAGCTGCTGATAGAGGCTGAGGTGCAGGATCTCCCACCCAGGGCTTGGTGTGGTTTTCTATTTTAATTAAATAGTTTCCTATGACATCCGATAGATCCCTGCCACGATTCAACTGACTTCAGCAACCTAGCTATTTAGTTGCTGGTGGAGTCGCTTCTAGAATGGGAAGCTTTCCTTTGCGAACCAAAGATGGGGTTGCCGATGTTAAGAGGTTGGATCGCAAGAATCGGTTCATTATGTACCTCTTTGCCAAGATCTGCAGACAAACGGAGGGTATGGGGTTGAAAGTATTCAAGTTCCACGCAATAATTCACATGGCAAGGGATATCCTTTTGTATGGTGTCCCCAAGGAACATGACACCGGAAGCAACGAAAGTGGCCACAAAGTAACCAAAGTTGCAGCCAAGCTCACCCAAAAGAACCTGTTGACATTCGAACTTCAAACGGCAACCAGACTGATAGAGTTCCTACTGGTTGAGTGGGCCATGGCCGAGATTAATGGTCGGAGATTGTGTGATTACTATGGGAGGTTTGATCCACTGCCTCCCGAAGTCGACGACGATGGTTCCGAATCCTCAACCTCCACACCGGAAAGCAGTACCAATCCACGAGGAAGGACTGCCAACCCAGGAACCAAAAGTGTAGCCAACCAGGAAGAACCTAGCTGTGACGGGTGGAGCCATGATGGAGGTGTACTATGGTGGACATGGCGATGCATGCATGGAGTTGAAGGATAGGCGGCCCGCAAGGAGGAAGAAGAGGATTATAAAGAAGGGCGATGTGGAAAGGTCGACCGTCAATGTGGGTGATGAGCCGCTTGAGTTCCTCTTGGACCTGCAGAAGGAAATGGAAGATTTGGTTGAGGACGTGGATGACTATCAGCTCCCAATTTACACTCAGCACAAACGGAACGGCCAAATATTCTATGGTCATCCCAAGTTTGAGGAGGTGGAAAGTGGAGAGACTGGGCCTTGTTTGACTGGGGAGATGAGGAGGATGGTGGGTATGGGAAGCTGCCAGGTCATATCCAGTGCTTTGTGACACTGGAAGGGATTGATGACGATCATGATGCCCGTAGAACCAAATTCGGGGGTATCCACCTGGAAAACGGGACCTATGCAGTGATAGAGAGTGCCCACTGGGTGACAGAAGAGAAGGAAGTGATGCTGTCAGACCTGTTTGTACCACTCCAGAAGGAAGCAAAGGTCGATAAGAAAACGGGTGAGGTCCGTGTTGAGCAGCAGCACGCCTGGGGAACCCCCCGTCCGGGTTTCCACGCCCCGGTGCGTGGAAACTTGAACCCTGATGGGTCCTCGCAACTATGACCCTAATCATGGTTGCCGAGAGGACCATCTCACAATTTGCAAAATTAATTCCCACGCTCCTCACCTACAACTCAAGTACATCTCTACATCTCGCAGGTCATCACCTGCGTTCCGGAAATGGATACCCCACATGATGATGCACCGCATCAGCTCCTCAATGCCTCTCAAACAAGATTACCCTTAAGGCAACGACGCCCGTCCAAGACCACATTTTGCAAGATCAACAGCGGCAACCATGAATCACTAAAGCCAGCGACCTAGCCAAGACCAGCCATTGAACTGCTCGAATGGAACCCCGGGGTCTGGAGACGATCGGCTCAGTAAATGGCCGAGTCTCTCCACTCACCTAATCCTCTACTAGTCGTGCCTAGCTGCTCTGGGCGAGCGCAGCTTGTCTGCGCTCGTAAAACGGCGGTTCTTCCTTGCGGATGTGGATGCCATTGCCTCCCCACTGTGTGTGGTCCCAGACATCGGTGCAAAGCCAAGCTGTAAGTATTTCAAAGTCAAGCCTAGGTCTGAGTGGGTAGAGGAGTTCCTTCTATGGCTTCGCGACCCCTCTGCGTTAGATGACATGTCCGATTAGCTAGATCTAGCTAACAGTTAGCAAGAAAATGTGACCAGAATAGGCACGGTTCTCCTCATTCCACGAGACTTCTGCTGCCGATCGGCTACATAGAGCTACCAATTTTGGAACCCGGGATACCCAATCGGTAACGGTTGGCGCCCATTCCTCACTTTTTGTAATTTGCGATAGAACAAGACAAGCCAGCCAATTTTCAAAATGTGTCGCACGGATCAAAGGCTCTAACTAGAAAATCGATTTTTTAATCTTATATATCTATCTCTGAATACTATATAACGCCACTCGCGTGATTTCTGACATTTAAACAGTTAACAATCGTGGAAATAGCTTCCCAATCAGGGAGGTGCGAGGTCACAAATTGAACCAAAAACCATCTCAGATGGCGCGCAAGAGGCTTCGAGCAAGAGATGTTGGTGACAAAATGCCAACTCGAGAGGAGCTCCATGGCACAAAACATCCACAGCATCCTATTGGAATGCCTACATTAGTGGAAGAAACCACATACATGCCTAAACCGCTACCTAAGGAGTGTAGAGAAGCTTTTCACAGCAGAATGAGTATGGAGGAGGGTACGTACAGACACACATGTACTAGCACGCGATTCCCATTGACTGAATGCGTTAGATTGCAACCTGCCGTTCGTGTGTGACTACTTTTGATATCAACTCCATACACAAGCATGCGCAGTCTCGTAGGAATCGTACTAAGTAAGAGCTACTGGTGTCGGGTTAAGTATGGCCCAACCGTGGAGCCCCACGAAATAGATGAGGATCGATCGGTCGCAACGGAAGGAGTTGACTGCAGTTTGCAGTCGGTGCTCTTCAGTTTTCTTCATAAAATCGATCTCCTGCCAGTGAAAAGGGTAACCTCTGCATCTCACTCTGCTGCTCTTCCACTGTTGTTAACTCCTTTCTTCCATCATTCGGCCCTGTGTGGCTACTCAATGGGATTTTTGGCGCCGTTCATCAGCCTGTGGAAGCGGAACAGCATCTGAAGAAGAGCAACACGAAGACGAGTATCTTGAGGACGAAGAAGGAAGTTACTCTGAAGACGACCAGGGAGGCTACGGCCAGCAAGAGCACCGTGGTGGCAACCGTGGAGAAGAAGATTTCTACAGTGTGAACTATCAAGATCACCACCGAACCAGCCAGCCAAAGAAGAAGAAGTCGAAGTCCTCATCTTTCTCTGTGAGTACTGCTTCGGCATCCTCAAGCTCCCAATCAGCAAGGTCGCACTCATCCCAATCTGGCAGCAGCAGTCACCACAACAACAAGCACGCTACCAAACGCCAAGGCCACACTTCCAAATCCCGTACCGAACGATCCGGATCCGGACGGCAAAAGTCCAAAAAATCGAACAGGCCACCACCGGAGTCTCCACGAGCACCTGGCAAACCATTATCCAAGCAGGTTCATTCTGGGAAGGAAAAGCATCGCACATCCCATCTTGATAGTCCAACAATGAGTGGAAAAGGAGGAGGAACAAAGAAGAAAGCGGCCACTCCCCGGCAGAGCAAATGCCACCAGTCTCGTATGATTGGTAGAGACAAAGATAATCATGAAAAGCATGCCGCATCTCTCAAAGATCATGAGAAGCTCACTTACCACATTAGCTTGTATGAGGAGGAGAAAAAGAAGAATTAGGAAGCCGACAAGGAGCAGCCTGATGAGGAATGGGAACCTGACAACTTCGATCTGGAAGAGGCCCTTGGCAACAACACCAAGGGGAGTAATGATTATATAGCAGCTTCCGGCTGTTTCAAGAAGAATACCTGGATTGACAAGAAGTTTAGCAGCGAGAAATTGGAGGACGCCATTGCCTATCTTGTCCTGGATCGACTGGGCAAGAAGGCCTTCTTGTTGACCGGCGACCGTAAGAAGGACAAGGGTAAGTTCTTGCTACTCGATCGGGAACCTTTTGGTTGTCTAATTGCCCAGTGCACCTGACCAATCTGGAACCGTTGTTCTTCTCTTTCTTTACAGTGATCAAGAAAAGGCGCGCCGCATGGGTTGCCCATTGGAAAGATGCTATCACGGCAATCATGAACGAGCAACGCAACTTCGTCGTGAACCAGATGTACATCAAGACCGAGGACTTTTGTGCTGCACATGGACTCGACAAGATGCCAACTCCGGAACAGCTCAAAGCTGTGGTGATGCGGGAGGTTCCTCTTGAAGACCTTGCCCAAGATGCCAGTGCACAAGAAAAGGCAGCACGTGAGGTAATCAAGCTGCATTCTTCCCTTTACACGGAGAAGCTTTTGCCATGTGTTGCTGGTGCATCCAGCTGGTTTCAGAAAGAAATGGACTGCCCCCAAGAGCAGCAAGGACTCGGAGACAAAAAAGTTTGCTACCAAGTACTCAAACTCCAAGGTGGGCAATGCCAAGTATGGAGGTTGGTCCAATGCAGGCCGAAGGCGCTACAATGCCATCAAGCTTGAGGTTCAGGAAGCCCGTGCCAAGCCCAATGCCCAGGATGCAGAACAAAAAATGCTGGAATGGATGTTGCAATATTGTGGAAAGGAAGACCACGAGCCCGATCCGGATGCCGTGAACAAGAAGAAGAAGAAGGGCAAGCGTTCCTAAAATGATCTGGTGGACTGTGACTAGGGTCCTTCCAGGTTGTCAATTGGCAGCCAAGGCCCCATTGAATGGGAAGCCCTTGGCCGCCTTTTGATTCCCCTTGGTGCTTTTTGGCAGGGCATTTGTGAGAAATTTGTTGCCCAGTTCTCTCTGTTCGGAAGCCTTCCGGTGCTTTTTCGGTACCCATTGCCTCCCTTTCCTTTTGCTGATCTTGTTAATTTGGTCGGTGGTGGTTGCCCATCTGGTAGCCTTTTTCACCCCTTTTCACCCCTTTCACCATGAGGATATTTTACGGTGATCCTCTTTTTTGGTGACTCAGTACTGCTCTATTTGGATTAGCGTTAACAATCTAGCCTTTTGATATTCCCACTCTTATCCTAGTCTTATCTCGTTTTAGCTGGTTTTAGTTGAAACTTGGCCACCTGCAGGTCCCGTTTTGGTAGGTAACGCGTTTGCGATTTTAATAGCCCCTCTGTGCAGGATCTATTGTTGTTGGGAATGCATTCTTCATGTTCTGACCATCCCAAAACAGATGGCGATGTGACTTCTTTTTAGTAGATAATGACTTAACGGTTGGATACACCAAGGGGCACAAAGGGTAACATACCACGTACTGAAGTTGTTTCCCCTGCCAGTAGTAGATTGTAAAGTACGTCACTTCCCAACCTGGAGCACCGGTTGCCTAATTGGAACCTTGGACTTGGTTCGGAAGGAGAGGTTGGGATGTGCTTCCCAAACGAGACCTGAGGTCTCGTTTCAGAATTACCTACAATTGTGCTTCTTAGATGATACGCTCAGCAGCTCGTGGTTTCCCCAGTATGGCCCAGGCATTCATGACAGAGCTGTAGCTCAATGTGTCAGGCCCATCAACCAAGTCTCCTGTTTGGTGTAGTTTTTCAATGTGATCCAATAGATTCTCAGCTTTCTCTCCTGCTTCTGGTAGACCAGATCTAGCCCAGGCATCAACCATAGTGGTATAGCTTCGGATGTTTGGTTTTGCATTGTGGTTTCCATCACTGTAGGCTTGAGTCATCTTCTTCAGAATACGCTCAGCAGCTCGGGGATTCCCCCGCTTGGCCCAAGCATTCATGGCCGAGCTGTAGCTCCGTGTGTCAGGCCCTTTCAACAACTAAATATCCTGTTTGGTGTAGTTTTTCAATTTCATCCAATACATCCTCGGCTTTCTCTCCCGCTTCTGGTAGACCAGATCTAGCCCAGGCATCAACCATAGTGGTATAGCTTCGGATGTTTGGTTTTGCATTGTTGTTTCCAGCTTGGTGGGCTTAGTTCATCTTTACGAAAACACGCTCAACAGCTTGGGGATTCCCCAGTTTTGCCCATGCAGGCATCCATGATGTTACTGTAGCTTACAACATCTGGTGTAATGGTTCCCTTCATGTCATCGAGAATCATTTCAGCCCATTTACCAGAGTCAGGATGTCTTGACTTTGCCCATGCATTGATTCCCATCGAGTACGATCCCAGATGTGGCTTCCTATCAGTACGTCCAGCATTGGAGAAACTTTCCATACAGGCAATAACAGAGTTTGCCATGAAGCCAGCATCTTGCTGTCTAGAAAGTGAACACGCCTTTAGCAACGCATGGAATGTATTCAACTGTAGTTTGGCTGCTGAGTCTTCGCTGAAGCTGTTCTGCATAGCTTGAATGGCATCTTGAATCCTTCTGTTATTTGCAAGGTCCAGTATCTTTCTGTCCAGTTCCGATGGTGGCGGTCCTCGTTCCTTTTTATGATGTCTCGCCTTCTTGTCCAGTTCTGTTCGTGGCGACCATTGCTGCTGGGGGTGCCTTGCGAGTAAAGGACCGTGTTGCCTTGATGACCGGAAGCGTGGGACAAGAGCAACCGCATGCCGAGGGCAGAACGGTGCTGTCGTCCCAAAACAGACGACAGTAGACAAGAGGAAGAGCGATAGGGATGTCATGGCGATGATGGGAAAACTTTGCTATGGAACAATGGAGGTTTTCTGGCAAGGAAGAGTGTTGATGCCATTTCTGTTGCAGCCCTTGTGTGAGCTCCAGGTTGAAGTCGAGAAGTCGAGGTTGAAGTCGAGGCGAGGTCGGTTCCAAAGATTCACGCACCGACGGCCAAAGGCCGAAGTATCGTCGTGGGGGAGAAGAGGAGGGGGCCGCACGGCGGCCTAGTAAAGAAGAGGGGAAGAGGAGGGGGAACCAACAACAACAACAACAACAACAACAACAACAACAACAACAACAACAACAACAACAACAACAACAACATCGCGACCAGCCAATCGTCCACTACAACATGGCCAACGAGATAATAATAGTAGCAACAGTAGTAACAGATACAATGTCAATGTTGTTGATGCTCGTTGATGGTATTTCCCATAGCTGTGGCGTTTGTTGTTGTTGACCACCATGGTTGGTTGGTTGGTTGTTGGCGAGAGAGGGGGTGGTGCGAGATACTTCCGACATCTTACTTAGAGGGCCAGCGGGTTCCTGCTAAATCTCGGCAGGTTTCCTACTGTTTCCTGGATAAGTCTCCGAGACGAGATCCCTCATTCCTGTGTGAACACAATTCAAGGATTCAGAAATGAAGCAACGTCATGGCATTGGAATCGAATCACTCATCAACAACAACAATAAATGAAACTCAAGGTCTCAAGCAGCAGATAGACCACAGACGATACGACAGACGAGACCAACACTATACTACGCTTTCAATGAAGAGAGCCATCATTGTGGAGTGTGTCGAGAAGAGGAGAGGAAAGAAAAGGGCATAGCTTTCGCATTTCGATGGTTGAATTTATGGAACTGACTGACTGGAGAGGAGAGGATGGACACGGAGAGGTTCCGACTGTTTACCCTCTCTTAACCTTCGGTTCAACAAGGACCAGTTGACTAGCAACAAGTTCAGTTTTCCATTTTCTCGTGCACCAAATAGCCATAGGAATTGTCTCAGAAATGTGAAAAAATTGTGTTGCAGCTGTGGATACGGCCTTTGTCGCATTCATTCCCACAAACCGATCCACATCGGTTAAGAGAGGACCAAACGAGGGATCGCGACTGATAAACATGTTTGCCACTCCTCTTCCATTTTCATTTTTTCGTTCGATACCTCTTCCTTATTCTATCTACAAGATGATATTTCCTCCTCTTTACAGCAGCCACGCCTCTTGAAGACTTCTCCACCATGACAGGCTCCTCTTCTTTGGTTAGTGGCAGCCCTTCGATGATCGGTCGATGCGTTCGACCTTCTTCCTTCTTTCGGTCGAGGACTCTTCCACGGTGGCTCTTGCACGGAGCGTCCATCCTTTTCTTCGGAGTGACGCTTGCAACAAACGGCTACTACTCTATGTAGAATTTTGCCATTAACAACAACAACACAACTACCGAAGCCACTAAGCCGACAACAACAAAGAGTTGGCAAAGAGTTTGCTACTACAATTTTCATTGAAAGGATCATGTTGCATCGGCCAATTTGAATTGCCTCCGACCAACAACAAAAACCTCCACCATGGCGCTCCGATCGGCTCCCAGGGACGGCACTTCAGGTAAAATGGCATAGCCTCCGGCGTAGCCCGAAGGCGGCGACATTTTGGTTGGTTGGTTGGTGGTGGTAAGGGATCGGTGTAGGTAGACGGTGGATTGGAGCGGTGGTAGAGACAGTGATGGCGTTGGTTGGTGGTGGCAACGGCAATCGGCAATCGAAAAGGACGACGATTGCTCTGAGTAGAAGCCGACCAGCTGCGGCTAAACTCTCGATACCACCCAGAGCTAACACTGTTGGCTGGCGCCTCTTTTTCGATTCTATGTCATGGTGGTTGTCAAGCGGCGTTTGGAGTGAGTTTGTCTGATGGTGAGTCCGGACACTGATCTGGCTACCAGCCGAAGAACCAAGAGCCCTTGTTTAAACCAAGAGCCTTTAAGCTTCTCTTTTCGGATCTTAAACCTGGCCCATGATGGCTTCTTTGCTCAGTCCTGTTCTCTAATACCTTGTTATAATGTCACTGCCGCCAAGGAACACAAAGAAGCCATACCTTTTTGACTCTCCCGACTGCCTTGCAGACTTAAAAATCCTTGGCTCAGTTTGCACCTAAAAAAAAATCTTAACCTCGGCAGTCTATCTGCCTGAGCCCTCTACCCCTTTACCTCGGCAGGTAAACTGCCTGAGTTCTCAACCCCTTTAATGCTATTTCCTATTTCCTATTTTCTATTTCCTATTTCCTATTTTCTATTTCCTATTTCCTATTCCGGTGAAGCCAAAGTATAAGGATAGAGATAGTCATAAGCCAACAAAACTGAACATTGATGGTTCAATACAAGTTAGGGGTAGGAATAAATCATTAATATTTAAGGTTAGTGCAATCAGCACAACAGAAGAAAAAGCCAGCAGGAGTTGTAAAGGTTAGAGTTATAATAAGGGAATGGCAGCTGGTAAATTATAGAGTAGCGGGCGGCAACACACGACGTAGTCGGGTGTTGTCGCCAGGGCTAGCTTAATAAAGAAGGTTGCAATGAGGGAATGAATGATACCGGGCGGCAACACACGACGTAGTCGAGTGTTGTCGCCAGGGCTAGCTAGCTTGAAAGAAGGGTGCAATCTCAAACTGATTCTTCTTCTTCTATCTGTCTTTCTGCCGAGGTATCGCAGCTCCCGCTGACTTAAAAGGGTGAAAAAACCGAGAGCCAGGCTCTTGGTCTTTAGGCTGGTAGCTGGGATCTGTTCCACTGGTTTCGTCACTGGCTCATTGCTCGCTCAAAGACATAGGCAATCCTTTTTTGAATGAACTCTCGCATTCTACACAGGTGCTGGTACACCACACAGTATGTAGGTCCTAGTACTCCTCAACCTACTCCATCGATACTTCCGGCTCCCAATGAAGAAACCGGACAATCTGCCATGAAGCATCAGGTCCCAGGTACCGTACCGGTACCAGGTACCGGTAGCATGTGGTTTCCCGTACACGCACCGACAAAAGGTAGACTACCGCACCGGCAGCATGCATGTGCCCATGCGGTTTCCCTTATCCCTTGCTACGTGCACTGCATACTGTACTACTTGAGTTCCCGGCATTGGCTTGGTGGGGGGTGTCAAGATGGCACTTAAAGATGCTGGAACTGGTACCTACAGTCGTATCCGTAAATGCTCAGCCGACTACTGGTAGCTACGATGTTGCAGAAGCACTAGCAACCTGTCGCAGATTTGTTTTTGCTTTAAGTGACAATGCGACGGACTGTCAATTACTCCGGGATGCTGACTGCCGCTCCAAAAGCCCTCCAGTTGTTTGTACGGTACCGTACAGGTGTATGTGGGGTGATAGCTGGATGTTCTAAGCAGAATCATATTTCAAGCCACCAAAATTGAACTGGAGAGGTGAGCGGTCAGCATGCGATTTCAGTGCAGCCAGCACAGTTGTGGCCTCCCTTGCCGTACCGGTATCATTTCCGTATCACGCAGAAGTATTAACCACACGTTCTTCTTTCGTAGTGGACAACGGGTGGGTGCTTTCGTCTTCTGTCTGGCTGCATTCCTCGTACCGGTACCACTCGTCTCATCAAATGCATAGTGTGTGTTGCTCCTGTAGTAGCGCTGTCGACTGCCACCAATGGTCCGCCCCATGTGATCTCTTCTACCGGACGATGCCCTCTTCTCTTCACTGCTGTTTCGAGGTGAGTATCCACTGGAATCCTGCTTCTGCTCTCCAATGGGTGCGTCTCGTTCCATAAAATCGATGTCAACGTCGTCAAGGCGGTTACAGCTAGAGCCTTCAATGTCATCGCAAAGCACGGTGGGTGAATGGGCACTGTACTGGTACCAGCCTCTATCAAGTGCAGAGAAGTCCCAGTACCAGTACAGTAGCAACCTTGGAACAGGTTGCCCTTGCCAATGTAAACGAAAGACTTCCAGTCCGAATCGAATCATCGAAAACAGCAAAGTCGAAACCATTGGCGACGTCGGTTCCATCGTTGGCTCCTGTAGTGCGTCGCATTCGTAACCTCCAGACTGCGGCGGTCGGGCTTAAATGGTACGGACCATACGTTGACATTGCTTCGTCGATGACGAATCTTTGTTGAAGCAAGGCACGTCATGAGGGATGTATCGTGCATACCCGCAGCGCCATCCGATCCGGCCAGGCCAGGATACAGTGCTAGTTGGCAGTAGTTGGCAATACCACCATAAGAGTTACAGCAAGGCTGGACTTGACTGCGGGGAGCTCTTCCCCTGCGATTAATTACCTACCTACCTAACTAGCCAGCCAGTCCTCTGCAACAGAAGAAGGGCTGGAAAGCTTCAGATCACACGAATGCAGGGCTGGCTGCCCTCTTCGGATCGACACTAGCCAGCTAGGATCCCGAGGTAGACAAAATGATACAAAATGCAGGCAGTGCAGCATCTGCCACCCGTGATCGTTCATTGCCATAATGTCTTCGATAGCATTGGAGGCTAGTTCTCTGATAGTTCTACAAACGTGGCCTCACGGCACGAGACATGGAAATTTGACTTGCGTGTTGATTTCACAGCTGTAACATTTTTTAAACATATGCAACATCGTTTACACCTCAAATAATGTGTCAATGTGAGGTAGATCGGAAGGGAGGATCTCATCACTGGGCTGGGGGCCTGTATCACATTCAGGGAGGTCAGCAACAGGCTTTTCACCAAATTCTAGATCTACATCTACATCAGTGATCTCCAAACTGGTGGAGTGCCCTCTCTCATGATGAACAGTGCCTGCAGAGACAAAGAATCGATTAGGACCAGTTTCCACCTGACCTGTCATGTCTGTTCGAGCCACAAGGAGGGTGCCCTGGTGCACAATGCCAGCAACACGAACATGCCCAACGAACAGCTTGTCAAAGTCATTCGGTCAAGTGGTTACACCGGTGATGAACTGTACATCGTGTGGTGTGCTGGTAGGCTGCAGGGGATGAAGATTGGTTCCAAATGAACCTGGCT